GCAGATTACAACCTCTGAAAACCCTCTGGAGGGTCAACTTATGAGTTGGCTCTGACTCAGTGGCATATAACAACAGTATGTGGTCTTTGGAAAACCTTGTATTTTTAGAGAAATTCCTCACACTGATTTAAATTCAAGTAACAAATTTCAGGATTTATGCAAAAATTTATGCAAAATACATTACATGTAATAATTTTAAATAGCATTTCAGTCAGTTTTTATTGGTTCATTGAAAGATACTCTTTATTGCTTCATTAAAAGGTATTCTTTACACCAATTAGAGAAAGTGCACATCTTGAGATAGTGAATCAGCCTGCTGTCAGGTCCATGCCAGCTCATAACCGCCTCGTGTCTCCAAGCAGAGCTGCGCTCCACAGAATTTTCAGTGTGTGGAAATAAATCACCAGGTCTTTCTTCCAAAGTTGTTCTAGGTGGACACGAATCTCTGACCTTTTGTTTAGTATTTGAATGCTTGACTGAGCTACCCAAAACTTCCTCCAAATATCTTTTGGGCATTCTTTTTATGATGGACATTATACTTGTTACACTGGATACAGGTGAATAACAGATAAAATCTTTTCTGAAATGTCATTCTTGCAATCATGTCTAAGAACACAGCTTTAAAAGATAAAAAAAGCAGATAACTAATTATCAGGATAGAATATCTCTGCAGAAATACCATCTAAATAGGCTTAGCTTTGAATAAAGGAGATTTTAAAGCAGTTACTTCATTTTCTCATCTCAAAGCTCGTCACTACTTTGTGACAGGTGAATTTAAGAGTGGAGAAGGTCCACTGGAAATACAGAATTGTAATGGGGAGAAAAATACCTGTGTTATGAAGTACAAAGACATGTGTGAGAAATAAACTTCATAACCTTACCATGGATTGAGGTTACTCATAACCCTGAAGCTGAAGATGGGGAGGAAAGAGAAGGAAAAGGTAGAACTACAAGAAAGAAAATAAAACTGGGAAAACAAACAAAAATATTATAGAGCATATAACCAAAGCTGTCTTGATGGTCCCAGTATAATCATCTTGTCATAGCAGACCTGCAGGATAAGTGTGCTAATAACTTTCATTCCCATTAGATTTAAATTCTCACATAGGTCTAGAAAACTTATAAAATTATACTCACGGTTTCCTATGAGTTTGTTCATATAAAATAATTGTTGGGAAAACCACCATTGAATTGTGTTTTGACACTTTTTTTTTAATTGCTTAACATTTGCACAGCAAATCCCAGGCATGCATTTTTTTTCTTTCCATTTTGTATTTTGGAGGCACAGAGGAAGTTAAAATGAAAAGGGATGCCAGGAATAAGGACCCCAAACACTCCTGCATGATTGTGCTACCTCACAGAGGCCCCAGCAAGGCATTGATACTTGGACTGAGGTCTGTTAAACAGAAGCCCACAGTTCATTCGACTTCCTGATGGCTTTATATTCTGAATGAAATGTGCCAGTAAAAACATATTGAAAATACTAAGCATGTAGTATTAGATAAGATTACCCTTAGAAAAAAGGCAAAGGGAAGCAAAGGCTCCAAAGGAAACATTCCATTTGTGTAAACAGCACTGCAGTGCCTCTCGCTGGCCTGCGTGCTCTGCCTGCTTCTGTCTGCATTCCCGGACTTGGTCGGTAAATTCAGTTTGCTTTTTTCCTTTGAAGATGTGGGTTCGTTCTAGATTTTATATTTTATTTACATGCACGCACACACACCCTCTTTATATATATATACACACACCTCTCTCACACACGCCCCTATCTCTATATAATATATGTAAACATACTTACATATAGCATATTTATATATTCACACACATACCCCTGTGGGTATGCATACTCTAAATTGCATGGTTTCTGTGTGAGTCTATATATTATGGAAATAATTAAAGAACACTTCTTTTTGAGTCCTGCTTATGATGCCAGAAGCGAACTGTGCTTTGTAGGGTTTTCAGTGGCCGATTTCAAGAAGCAGGTCACCATACCTTTCTTCTTAGTCACCTCTATGGTTCCAAACTGTCAACCTTTCAGTTACTAACAACTCTTAACCATTTGCACCACCTGAGACTTCCTTATGATATAATCACAAACTTAATGCATTCCTCCACGTCTTCCTCACTGCTTATGTCTTCAGACCTTTATTTCCTTCTTTCCTGCTACTCTAGAAACATCTCATCTCCCTCTGCTTTGTCACCCTGTCATTCCTTTGCCAACCTTGCTTGAAAGAGTCAGACTTGTTTCTTACGAGTGTGGCTTTTGTGGGCCTTGGAAACAACCCTTCTGAGACATGCCTGTAACATTTCTGTGTACATTATAGCAGAGGTCTGAGCCTCCCAAAGCATTATAACATCCTTCTTTCTCCATTGATGGACTTAACTTCCCTAGAGTCTTCTCCATAGGGAGATTGTCTGCTAACCCAAGGGTGGTGTCTCTCTGGCAGTTCGAATCTGCCAGCAGGTCCACATGAGAAAATCCCTCAGTCTCCTTGTTTGCGTTTACTGCTTTGGCAAACCTGCTGATTCATCAGGTTTTCAAGATGGTAGTTCATTAAAAGTGGAGACTGCATGTCTTTCTTCCTAGGAACTGCTAGTGGATTTGAACCACTGACCTTTTGATTAATAAACCAACACATTACACACTATGCCATCAGAGCATAAGGTTGTTTGGTTCAAAGGTACAAAGTGAGATTCACATGTCATATTTGGGTGAAAATAATTGGTAATATGTCTTGAACTCATCTTTTTCTTCAAAGTATTATACTTATAAAGGGAATTTAATTTTTAAAACCCAGTAAATTGCAGAAGTCTCCAGAGTAGCACATTAAGAAACATTCGTCCATTAAAAAAGAAAAAGAAACATCATCTGGATAGAATAACAATTACACCACCTTATTCTTCATTTCTTAATTCTTGTAGTTATAACTATTAAATTTTCACTATCCTAAAGCATCTTTTTGTGGGGTTTTGATTTCTAAAACTGAAGTTCTCTGCCTAAAATTTCTTGTAGGACTTTTCCCCACATCCCTCAAACACACACAGTCTTTAAGATGTGTAGGACAGAGGAACCAAAGCTTCAAACATATCCTTTGCCCCTCTTGCACACACAGACAGTGGACAGCTTTAAGAGGATAAAAACCTCTCTTCTTGTTGTTATATGCCATAGAGTCGGAACCAACTCACAGCTGATCCTCTCAACAGATTTTCAGAGGCAGTAACTGGCACAGGAAGAGAGCACCCATCCTTTTCCAGTGGAACAGCTTGTGGAGAAATTGTGTGCCTTTAGGGTTCCAGCACTAGAATTCTTGCCACTAGGCCACCAGAGCTCCCTTATGGAACATAAAAATTCAAGTTTAAGGGGAGCTCTGGTGGCCTAGTGGAAAGGAGCTGCAACTACAGTCCCAGAGGCGCACGTTTCAAATCCACCAGATGCTCTGCCGGGAAAGGAGGGACAATCTCCTCCTGTACCAGTCAGATCTGATTTGATGGTACACTCACACAAAATAAAAAAATTTTTAAAAAATTTTAAAAAAAATTCAAGTGTAAATCAACCTCACACCTTACTTCACAGTAGAAATCAAGACCCTTAGCTCTTAGTATTCTGCCCTAAGTAAAATATGTCACTTTTTTTTTATTAATCTTTATATTATATTCACAGATTTAGAGCCAACAATCTTTCTCACTTCCTTTCAGAGACAGCACTTGTGTTAATTAATATTTTTGTAACTCTTAAGATATGAAGCCAGTGACCATCTCTCAGGCTGCCTGTGATCTTGCCACCCTTTCTAAAAGTGGTCAGTGTTCACCTCAAAAAGACCTCTCTTTTTTAGGTACACCATCAGTAACATGGTAGAAAGAAAAAATTTTCCATTCTACACTTAAAAAGGAAAGACAGATTCACTCAGCTTTTGACCCAGACATGTGAAACATGCCATGCAATCAAAATAAAATCGGTGTGTATTTTTAACACAGAGAATTCCTGGAGTCTTATATAAATCAAATGATCTGAGTTGAATGAAAGGCTTTTGGAACGTAAAGTGACAAAATAGAGAAGTAAGAGAGGAGAGACAGCCGTCAGAGAAGGAGTCGAGAACAGTTCTAATGAGAACCCAGACCCTCCCCTCGATCTAGTTTACTAGCAACCCAAATTTCTCAACTTGTTATTCCAGTCAGTGTAACTTAGATATTAGCCCGTCCACTGCTATCAAATCCGTTCTAACTGATGGTGACCCTCCATCGGATTTTCCAGACTGAAAATGTTTACAAGAAGAGACTGCTCTTTATGCCAAGAAGTAGCTAGTAGAGCCAAACCACTGACTTTTCGGTTAGCAGCACAGAGTAGTACCACCAGAGTTAAGTGTTGTTGTAGTTGTTGTTAAGTGTCATCGTGTTGACTGTGATGACTCATAGCAGCCCCGTCAACAACCGAGTGAAACCTTGCCTGTCCTGTGCCATCCCCACACTCTGCTCAGAACCACCGTGGCCATCACTGTCATCCAGTCTCCTGGAGGGTCTTCCTCTTTTTCCCTGACGTTCTACTTTTCCAACATGACGTCTTTTTCCTAGGAAATATTTGAAATATATCTGATATTTAAAATAGAACTTAAAACATTTAAAAACAGAAGCACCAGTTGACTTTGAATTGATTCCAACTTATGACGATCCCGTGGATGTCAGAGTAGATCTGCTCCGTAGGATTTTCCGTGGCTGGTAATTCACAGGGAGATCGGGATTGGCAGGAGTTCCATCCAGCGTTCCACACTTTAGTTAGGAGACTAATGTGTTAAACCTTTGCAGACTTAGGGACTTCATAGTGTCCTTTAAAATAATCAAGTTTACTGTGCCAAGTAGGAATTTTCTAGCTTCTGTATAGATACATTATGAATTATTTGGAATGAATTTAATAACTATTTTTTCACCTAAAAATAAACAACCATATGTGACAACCCTTAGAGGGTACTACATAAAGTTGCGCTTCCCCCCCCCCCTTTTTATTACAGTATTTCTAAGACCTCAAAGAAATTTGGAATCTGTTGACCCACAGTTTACAATTCGGAGGAAAATGGAGCAGATGAGAGAAGAAAAAGAACTGGTGGAACAACTTCGTGAGGTACCTAATAAATATTATATGATTAAAAATGATGTCAGAATTGAAGCAGCCGGCTCTATTTTTTTAAATAGACTCTAAAGCATTACTACAGACCTAGTTTCTAATTGAGCAAAGTTACTAAGTGATTGATACTGTTCAAGTCACTTCTTATCCCTGATTTCAGTTCCTTCATCAATTTTAAAAATAGTCACAGTCTAGAGGGATATTGTGAAAAATCTAAGCAAAGATCTGTGGTACTGCTAGCATGACTTCTGTCCATTCATACTGTAATGTAGTGTCATTGATTTGTTGTGGTTAGCTGCTATCGAGTTGATTTTTCAAGTTACCCCGGGTGGCAGAGTGGAGCTGCCCGAGGGTTCTCCCTTCGGGCACGGAGCACCTACCTGGTCTTTCAGCAACAAAGAAGCCGGGTAGATTCAGACCACCAGCCTCTCAGCAGCAGCGCGCTCAAGTATGGCTGCCGTCTGTTTGTTTAACTAGTAATAACATTCTGCTCATTGTGACGGTATTCAGCTATCCCCACTTTGTTCCCCACATGAGTTAGAGGTTTCTTGTTAGTCATGTAACAGGTGAACCATACAAACTTCTCTCAAGAGTGATTTCTTGAGATGAGCACTCTAGGTGTTTTTCAACTTGGTGCATCAAGGACAGCCACTGCCTGATTCCTCTTGGATTTCTGGTTCCAGCACAACCCTTAGGGGGCATCTAGTTGGCATTTGTCTCCCCACACAACCATTGGATCTAGTTAGGAAGAGAACATGGAAGGTCAGGTAGCAGTGCAAGGCTTCAGTCACCGAGGAAGAAGAGATTGGAGATATTGAAAAATCACATTTTGAATTGGTATACAAAGGCTTGAAGTTCATGGACAGTACAATAGCTATGAACAAGAAGAGTAAAAAACTTCTTTGGCATAGTCAAGCTTACACCAAATCTTCCCATTTCAAAAACAGATACTGTTGAATGCTGCTGTATGCAAGGTAATGTTCTGGTTGATAAGAAAGGACAAGAACAAAAAGAGGAATAAATCTTTGTACTTAGAAAGCATATAGTCTATTAAGAAGAGACAATAAATAAAAAGGAAACAAATTTTTATAAATAGGAAAACTTCATAAATCAATTTTATAAATAGGAAAAAGTTGTAAATCAATAACCATAAAAATGTTGTTAGAAGTTGTTGAGTCAAGCAATGACTCATAGCAGCCCCATGAGCCCTGTGATCTGGTCCCTGTCCTGTCCTGTGACATCCTTGTCATCTCGACACACTTGAGCCCATTGCTGTAGTCACTGTGTCCGTCCATCTCTTTGAGGTCTTCTTCTCTTGCGTTGACCGTCCACCTTGTCAAGCATGATGTCCCTATTCAAGGAATAGCATGTCTTAACAACATGCCCAGAGTAGATGAGACAAAAGTTTGCCATCCTTTCCTCTAAGGAGAACTCTGGTTGTACTTGCTCCAAGACACATACTTGTTCTTTTGACTGTCCACAGGATATTTGGGACTGTTCTCCAACACCACAGCTCAGGGGCATCAATTCTTCTTCTGTCATCCTTATTCATTGTTCAGCTTTCAGATGCATAGCAGGTGATTGGAAAGGCCAGGGCTATGAATATTTGTCTGCTAATTAATGGGAAATACTTGTGTTTTCCTTCTCTTACTGATTCTAACTTTTATGTGCCAAAAATGTGAAGAGATCATTATGTAGGTCTCTTGCATGCATTGATTTTCATGCATATGCTTCCTTGATCACAAACTATCAGAACAAGTCCTTCCTACTTAGGACTTCAAAGGCTTGTTACAGAGAGCGTCTTATGAGAAAGATTGACTGTCCCCTCCTGTTAAGATTCACAACCTCACGAACCTGGGGTTGGTAACTATGAGTCAGGAACTGGGTCAGCTACAGTGTTTGAGGTTTGTGCAATAGAGACTTTTTGATGTAACTTTAAAAGCAGGTTGCTCTTCTTCCACTTCCAGGAAGATGGAGTAGATACCCTGTTCCCTCTAAATAACCTCAGTTCTTTGACACCATGAGTTGGAGTTGACTCAGTAACAACTGGTTTAGAGTTACGGTTATCTAAGTCTAAAAAGTTTTCATTTCCGAGCTAAGACACAATCTAAGACAAAAGCATCCCCTTTCATTCTTTTCTGCTTCTCTGTGCTAATTTGAGTTTTGTTTCATTTGTCAGCCTTATTCTGTTTTCACATTTTATAATCAAAGCTGCAGAAATTGTGAACCTAAGCAAATATTCCATTACTGTTTTAATTCTGCTAATTAAGTATTTTGGACATAACTAATTTTTTTATGCAAAATAAATTTTACTTTGGAAATTTTTGAAAAGATACAAATTCTATTCTTCCCCCCATAGTAATATTAGTGTATCTAATATTATTAGTATCTGTAACATATTTTACCTCAGATATCTTGGGTGATTAAAGTTGCTCACAAGCTTCTTTCTGATTCCTCCCACCAGAGCATTGAGATGAGACTAAAAGTCAGCCTGCACGAAGACCTGGGGGCAGCACTCATGGATGGCGTTGTCCTCTGCCATCTGGTCAACCATGTCCGCCCTCGGTCTGTCGCAAGCATTCATGTCCCTTCACCAGCAGTTGTAAGTAACACAGTATAAAAGGAAACATAAGTGTTACACAGAGGATACTCAGGTTACAGCTGCCACTGAGATCATCAGCACCATACATAAATCCTTTGTACTGTACTCTCCGCCTTGTTATTGTCATTGTTAGGTGCAGTAACTCGACTGTGACTCTTAGTGACCCTGTGAATAGCAAATCATAACTTTGCTCTATCCTAAGCCGTCATCAGCATCTCTGATACACTTGACCTCATTGTTATAGTCATTATGTCAGTCTATCTTGTTGAAGTCTTCCTCTCTTTTTCTGACCCACTGCCTTCCCCAGCATGATGTCTTTTTTCAAGGACTACTAGCCTCTTCTGACAACATGCACAAAGTATGTGAGATGAAGTTTCACCATAATTGCCTTTTAAGAATTTCATATTTGCTCCTAAAAATTACAAGAACAGAATAGACTCTGATTTTAAAAGAATTCAGCTATTCTTAATGGGAAAGAAGTACATGTTTAAATATGTGGAAGATGGAAAAAGAATTTCTTTTGAACGTAAAGTAAATCACTTTCAAGGATAAAGACTCATTTATCTTGAGAGGTTCTGGAAACGACAGGAAGTTGTCTTTTCAGAAAAGCCTTTCTAGTTGATAATCTCTTTCCTTTTACTCATTATTTAAGGTCACCCAGATACACCTGAAAAAAATGTGGATCTGAAAATATCATTAATTGCTGACACCAGCAGTCAGAAAGCCAATCATTATATCAACAACACCATGACCACTCTACACAGGGATAGACAGTAGAAAAGGTGAAGATGACAGAGACTCTGTCCCTGCCCTAGATGTTCTCATTCTCCAGGTGAGGGAGGTAAAACCTGCCCAGGGATGATCAGGTGACACTGAATCAACTCCATGTGTCAGAGGACAGCTGTGCTCTGTAGACATAGGTTGTCAGGACTTTTTTTCTAAGAGACCTATGGATGGACCCAAACTTCTAATCATTCAGTTAGTTGAGGGTTCAAGTCCACCCAGAGGAATTAAACCTTAATGATTCACTTCTGAAAAGTCATCCTGTTAAAGCCCAGTGGGGTACGCTTGTACTCGGAGTCAGCCATCTTCAAAACAGCTGTTGTTTTTTAAGAATGACTTAAAGCTTCTTGCCCCATCACAACAAAATTTAATTTCCCAGCGTAGGCTACAACTTACTGAGGACAAGGACTGTGTCTTCATGTTGCACTGTTGTGCCTTTACACGCTTAATTTCTTGACAGCTGGTACCAAGAGTGTTGATTGTGGATCCAGGTAAGATGAAATTGTTGACAATTTTGATCTTTTCTCCATCTATCATGATGTTGTTACAGTGGCGAAGATTTTTGTCTTCATGTTAAAGTGTAATCCGTATTGAATACTATGGTCTTTGATCGCAGTAAATCAAACAGGAGTGGATTGCCCATCTTTTTTCTTCAGAGAAGCTTGTGGATTCAGACTGCATGTGTTTATATTGGCAGCTAAGACAGGACATACTTCACTGGGCAAATATACTGTCAGGGATCTCTCTAAAATGCTAAAGAGCAGTGAGGTCTGTCTGAAGACTAAAGTGCACCTGTTTCAGGCCATCGACTATTCAATCACTTGCTTTGCATTTGAGAACTAGACGATGATTAAGATTATAGAAGAAGAATTGATGTCTTTGAGTTGTGGTGTTGGAGAGTACTGAATATTCCACAGACTGCCATAAGAACAACAGATAAGTCTTGGAGAAAATGCAGACAAAATATTCCTTGGAGGCAAAGACAGTGAGTTTTACTTTGGACCTGTTGCTAGACGCTGTTCTGTGGAGGGGAACATCATGCTTGTAAAGGTAGAGGGATGAGCTTACTCACATCCAGTGATGAATTTTTTTTTGGTAGTTTGAAACACTATTGACTTCTCCTTTGCTGTGTAACTATTTTAAATGTTGTTGGTCATTTCAGAGTTTCAGAGAGAAAAAAAAGCAAACCCATTATCATTTAATTGATACTGACTCAGTGACTCTGTCGAACAGAGCATAAAACTATCTGGAGTTCTACAGCTGTTTCTTACAAACAGGAAAATTGTGCATCGGTGACGGATACTTTCATCTTATCTAATCAGTCTGGATGCTGAGCAATAAGAGAATATGGAGAAGAATGTGGCATCAGGATTGGAAGAAGACTCATCAACCTGCAATATGCAGATGATCCAACGTTTCCTGCTGAAAACGAAGAGAACTTGAATCATTTAATAAGGTCAAAGACTATGGTCTTCAGTATGGATTACATGTCAACATTAAAAAACCCAAAACAAAATCCTCACAACTGAATCCGTAAACAACATCATAATAACTGGAGAAAAGCTTGACGTTCTTAAGGATTTCTTTTACCTTGGCTCCTCTGTCAATACCAGTGAAAGCAGCAAGCAACAAATCAAACAGCGTATTGTGTTGGGCATATCTGCTGCCAACGACCTCTTTAAAGTACTGAAGAGCAGAGGTGCCACTTTAAAGACTAAGGTGCACTTGGTGTACACCATGATATTTCCCACTTTTATTTAATATGCATGTGAGAGTTCTTTACCATTTTCAGTGCTGTTGACCTTGATATTGTCTCTTTCTATGAAATCCATTGCTGTGTTACTAAGAAGATAAAGTAGGGAAATTTAACCCTCACATTGTTAATGGAACATTGATATTCCTGGTAGAATAGCTGAGTTCATTCCTGGCCAGTGCATCTCTGGAGCAGCCACCATCCAGCTAGCAGAACTTCCAAACTAAGACAGATTAACAAGAAAGGCATCCTTGACTATTTCTACACAGCAGCCAATGAAATGCTTACTTTTTAGGAGAGTCTGACCTTTGGTTAATCTGGAAGCATTGTTCCATTGTGCATGGCATTGCGCCAAGTCAGCAGCAGCTGACAGCTTAGAAAAGCATTTGTGTTTGCTCTATCAGTGTTTAAGTAAACTAAAGTAGGTTACACAATATGATGATGCCATTTAAAAAGTGAGCAAATGTACATAGTGCTTGGAAGAATAGAACTCAAAAGATTAATCTTTAAATACAGGTTTCTGAATAATATTTTATTTACCTATACAGTGTTTTCTTTTCCTTCAATAAATATGTATTCCTTGTGCCATAGACAATGCTTAATAAACCTGTTTTAAGACATTTTCTATTTTAATAATGTTACTTTTTTTTTTCATCTTTGTGTTGATAGCCCAAACTTAGCATGGCCAAATGCAGAAGAAATGTAGAAAACTTTTTGGAAGCTTGCCGGAAACTAGGAGTCCCAGAGGTAACCTCAAACTTAGACCACATATTTGATTAGTAAAAATTTTCTTTAGTATATGTATTAGAACAACTGAATAGATATGCCCCTTGTTGTGTATTCTCTTTATTTTTTATTTGGAAAAAAATATTACAAATCTTACTGAATTTTCATTAAATTACTCATAGACATCTTGTTCTATAACTGACTACAATTAAAGTAATTAAGCCTTACAGGGTCTAGTAAAATTCTTGCTGTATGTCTGTTCCCTTCACCTAACATGCCTATGCATTACATTTTTCTCTCCTCTCTTTCCTTTTTCATCCCTGCTAACCCTAAAAGATTGTTCCTGTTTGTTCTGCCTTTTCTTAGCTATACTAGGAACCCTGTACCATATTGTTGTTGTTGTTGTGTGCCATCAAGTCAGAACTGACCCATAGCTGACCCTCCAGTGAGTTTTCAGAAACAGTAGATTGCCACAGAGCAGCTGGTGGATTCGAACTGCATGCTTTTGGAACTACAGTGCATTTTCTTACCACTAGGCCACCAGGGCTCCTATACCATAGTAGTCTTATAATAATCTTTTTGTGACACTTATATCACAGCATAATCTGTTCTGGCTTCATCCATATTGTATAGTAGTTCATTAATTCATGATCATTTCTCAGTGATGTGTAATACTCCATTGTGTCAGTGTGTGTGTTAGTTGCTTTAGCAGTTCATCCCTTGATAGAAGCTAGATTATTTCCAACTCTTTGCTATTGTGTATAATGCAGCAATAAGCTTAGGTGTCCATATGTCCGTTTGTGTTGCAGCTCTTATTTCTTTGAGCTCTATGCCTACTAATGGATTGCTGGATAAATAGTCACAGTATAGTCAGCTTTCTGAGGAAGTGTCAGACTACTTACCATTAGTAGTTGCACCAATTTACATCCTCACCATCAGTGTATTGAGAATTCTAATCACTCTTTAACCTCATCAGCATTGTCTATTTGCTGCTTTATTGCTGTAGTTGCTGGCATGAGATATCTCATTATTGTGTTGACTTGCATCTCTTTAGTTATACTGTGGAAGGTCAGAGAAAGAAAAGAAGACCCTAAAAAAAAAAAAAGGATCGACACAGTGACTAACATTGGATGTAAGCGTAGAGAAGATGAGGAAAGCGCATGTTAGGGCAGGATTTAAGTGATTTTCATGGGTCCCTATGAGTCATAGTTGATTTGATAGCTCCTAACAACAACAAGGAGCTACGGTGGCCCAGTGGTAAGAAACTTCACTGCAGTCCCAAAGGCACTCGGTTCAAATCCACTCGCTGCTCTGTGGAAGAATAGTAGTCTCCTCCTGTGCAGTCTACAGCCTTAAAACCCCCTGGAGGGTCAGCTGTAAGGCAAACAGCAACAGCTAATGTTCTGTGTTTCTTCATGTTTGTTGGCATCCTAACGTCTTGAGCAAAGTGTCTTTTCATGTCCTCTTCCTATTTTGTAAATGGGTTGTAATTCCTGGATACACATTTCCCCCTTTTCCATAATATTTAAGACGTTTTCTTCTTCCAGATTTTCAGTGGTCTTCTCTATACATTTTTGTTCTCTTCCTGTTCTGAAATTCCAGTTACACATAAGTTACTTTGTTTGATTACTTTGTTTGTTGTATTGTGTAATTCTTTCTTCATTTCCCTGAATCCTTTTTCTGATTGATCTTCTAATAGATTACTATTAAAGGGTTTATTTGCCATCTCACTATGTTCCGTTTTATAAATCCTTCTAACACAGTATCTATTTCTGAAATTTTAGTCTAATAGTCAATATTTTCATTTGCAATTTTTATATTGCTTCAAAATTAGAAACAATATTTTCTCAATAAAATATATTTCTTTATCAATTTGCTTTTTTAAAAATTTATCAATGGTTTTTGTTATTTTCTAGACTTTTTGTAAATCCACTGATAGAACTGAATTACCATGTTGTTGAATTTCTTATCAGGAAGTTTCAATCACATTTCTTCCTAGGAAAGATTTTCTGATTCTGTATTTTGGTCACTTTCTTCTTGTCTTTTTTTTTTTTTTTTTAAATTGCTTAAAGTTTTCTGTTGTCTCAGACATTGTGGTGTTGACAGTATCTGTACTTTTGTTGCGTTGCTTGCTAGGTTGGTAATTCTTAATGTTTCACTCTGTGTCTTCTGTTAGGTGTGATGGAGTGTGTGTGTGTGTGTGTGTGTGTGTGTGTGTGTGTGTGTGTAACATCTGCACCCAGGGCAGTGTTGCACCCTGGATACCACTTGAGCCCTGGGTTTCCATGCTGAGCAGACGACTCTTCAGAATAGATGTTAAGAGTTATTGGCTCCGTCTGTCTCCTTAGTTACTGTTTTCATTCAATCATTATTTGAAGTACTTTTTTAAAAAAAACCCTCAGGGTTCCAGAATTATTTTTAATATGTAGTCTTCATTTTATGGTTTCTTCTGTGAAGAGAATCTGAACTGCCACCCGAGTAGTCCGCCTTCTTACCCAGAAGCCCTGTGTATTCTCTTTAGCCTCAACCTTTCTTGAGAAATTAATAGTCAGTATTACAAGCATTTTAAATTGTTATAGTAGAATTACAGTGAAACAGTAAATTTAAATCTGAGGAAACTGAAAAGATAATTTCTTACCTGAGAAGATAATTTCAAGTTTTGGAATAACTGTGAAATGCCAAACTTGAAAAGATTTTTTGGTCAGCATGATTCTCTCTTCTGAGAGCAGAGCTTCCTGAAGGCTAAATTGAGCTCCAGTGGTCCAGGCGTAAGGAATTAGGTTGCCAACCCAAAGATGGTTGTTCAGTCGGCCAGCTGCTGCAAGGAAGAAAGATGGACTGTCTCCTCCCATGTGATTTACAGCCTTTGGAAATTCACTGGAGGATCAGCCATGAGTCTGTTTTGACTCGATTATATCTAACAACAGTATTGAATTCTACCGGTGGAATATGGAGTTGATTATTCCACCTGTCTTAAGCAAAACAGGTCGTAGATGATTGTTTATCATTCCTTGTGTGCACCTGGGGTATGTGGATCAAAGTATAGCATCATACTATAGTTCTAATTATACCGGGAGCAGCGATGGCTTAGTGGCAAGGAGATGTACTTCCAACCCAGAGGCACACACTTCAAATCCACCAGCTGCTCTGTAAAAGAAAGGTAGACCATCTCTTCCCATGTGTTTTATTGCCTCTGAAAATCTTCTGGAGGATCAGCTATGTCAGTTCCAACTCAATAGTACATGACAACAACATTATTATAATTAATAGTGTATTGTTTGTATGTTGCTTTGTGATTTAACTAATTGCATGCAAAATTTCTCCACTAGCCTTCAATTCTCTATATAGTGCCCAAATCTAAATTGTGGTATAGTTTGCTAGATGGCTAATTTGGGGCTTTTCAAAGACTTTTTGTGCCATTAGTAACACAAAGTGATTTCTTATTGAGACATGAACCAATCTCTCAGAATTTGGTGTAGCAGTGTAAGTTGAGAAGTTTATTATAGCTGCAATAAACATGCCAAGTTACAGTCTTTCGTATGATTTTTTTATATCTTTCTTAATTTTCAGAGATGAAGTAAACAGATACTCATGATACAAAAAAAAATTGTTACTTACAGAAGTTATTTAGTTCTTCCTTTTTGTATTTCCCATTTTAAATTTGGATGGGCTTCCAAAGAGGCAGGGTTAACATTAGACTTCTAATTTTATAGACAGATAAGGAGAGAATTATTAAAGTGGCCTTAAATTGAGTCTTAACAATAAGAAGTATACAAAGTCTTTTTTAGAAGACTGATTTTTGTAGTATAAACTAAATGTCTTTGTGAACAGTGTTGCTTCTACAGTGTCGGCGTATCTATGATATATGTGTACAGTTTAGTGTTGCATATAAACTCATGGCTTTGAATGTGTGCTAAATAATTATGCATATACTCTTTCAGCAATTTGATTCCATCATAGACTTTCCATATGTGAATCAAATTGTCATACCAAGAATCAGAAGATAAGTTATTTATCTCTGTTCCAGAAAGTACTGTTTAATTAGAACCTATTCCATGTTATTTTGTTTTAGCCAATTTACCAATGTTTTTTGCCTTACAGTGATACAAAATGAAATGGGAATGCCTTTAATTATTTACTCTGAATAAATATTGGTAATTATAATTTCCTTTCAAAAGTGGAGGGAAGGAAATGAAACTACCATAGAAATACAGAGCAAAGTTTGTCTTAATTTCTGAATGTCTTAGTGTATTACCTGCTGTCATCAACTTCCATCTCATCTAAAAATCTCACCTCAATTATGCTGGGAAGTAAAGCTATTTGTTGATAGGCTGAGTCTACATACATTGTGAGTACATAAGAAACTGTACATATGCCCATTACCTGATTTTTTTAAAATTCAAAGACATTCTGTAAACTGAAGGAATATACTATTTTTTCTTTCTTAAAAATAGGGTACCAATGAAGGAGTTTTTCTTTTGCTTTTCAAGGAGAGGAGTGAACTGGGGG